TTTACATATGTACATGTCTGTATTTAGGCTTGTATGTATTCCCTTTGCCTCCTACTTTTTTCATTCTTATATTAAGAATTTCTGCAATTATTTTAATATATTTAATCAAATTGATAAAATATACTTCTATTAATGTGTTTTACTAGAGTAACCATTATCATTTTCTCTATATTATTCAAATGCTTCTTTTGATTTTATGAATATAATTTGCACACAGGTATTGTCTTCTTACTCACATAACCCAGAATTTGAACCCTCAAAATTATTTTAAATATGTCCTACCTGAAGTTGTCTTCACTACATTAGTGGTATTTCTCAGTCCAACAAATGAAAATTGATAAAGCCTCCAAGACCTTGTGTCACCCACTTCAACAGAGTTACGCTTCCATTGATAGATAATTTCTTCACGAGGATAGCCATCTGCCAAGACATGAGATTGTACTCCATGAATGATTCACGGAAATAGGTACTGAGTGACATAAAGTTATGAATAAGATGAAAATCTGGTACTAAAAAACAACAAATTGGAAATGAAATCACTACAATGATATTACTTCTCAGTGGGAAATTAAAGCATAAATTCAAAAGGATGACATCTATAGCTAGACTTAGAGAATCCTTGAAGATACCACAAAGATCTGTTAAACATGGTTTCTCAAGTACCACATACAACCTCTCTATTATCTTGATTAATATATAAACAAAAGAATAGATAATAATAGTAGATATGCATAATAAAGTATCATTGTGAAGATAATCATATTTTGAGGATCATGCAGAATAATAATAAAGCAAAATGTGTTTTAATTATCCTCCATGGCATGCTTCTGGTGCAGAAAATGGCTAGGAAAACTTCAAGTATTTACATTATTCTTTGCTGAAATTCCATTTTAATGTATACATAAAGTTACAATTAATAGTGGTAAGGGGAAATGGCTGGTTTGCTCCTTGAGATATTATAAGCATAATAACATATTATTTTATTAGTAGTCTATTGCTGTTAGGTGTCATTGAGTCAGTTCTCGTTCATAGAAGCTCTATATCCAACAGAGCCAAAACGCTGCTTGCTCTGTGCTACTTTCACAATTATGAAATTTGAACCCGTTGTGCACCCGCTGTTTATGAGCATCTGCTTGAAGTGTTCCAAACTTTTACTGACTCTCTCTTTCACCAAACACGATGTACTTTTCGTATGTCCAGTTTCTCATATAACATTTCCGATGTAGTTTGTAAGAAGTCACTGCTCTAGATTTGAAGGAATCCTGTGCTTGCCTTTTTTTTAACTCTCTAATGACTTTTAATTGCTTTACAGGTAAAAATAAAATGGTGACAATTTTTAATTAAAACATGAAACAATCCAATTGTCACTTCTTAAAGGTCATGATGGAACATCTTTCTCTTCATGTCTAAAGTTTCAGGTGCTCGCTATCATGCACCGCAGAAGCTTTCTAATAGGACATCAGTGACATCACACCAGGATGTGGAACTCTGTACAAGTGCGCTGGCTCTTTTGGCCCCACTTGCCTTTTTTCTGGGATAGATTGGTTTGGCCATCTGGTGTTTTGTGACATTTTCCATATTCTTCCCCAACACCTTGATAATCCAAAGGCATCAACTCTCCCAATTTCTTCCTTCTTTCTCTACTTTCACATATATCTGAGGTCATTAAAAATAGTTTGGATCAGGAGCACCTTCGGCATCAAAGTGCCATCCAGTACCTTTAACACTCTTAAGAGGTCCTGTGAAGCAGATTTACCCAATGCAATATGTTGTCTGATTTCTTGACTGCTGCTTCTATGAGGACAGACGGTGGATCCAAGCAAAATGAAATCATTAGCAACTTCCATGATATTGTCTATTAGTCCAGCTATAAAACGTTTGTCATGACATTGTCATGGCTTTCTTTACAAGGAGTTGTAGTCAATATTGAACACTGACATCTTTGATCTTCATCAGCAAATGCTTCTCAAGTCCTGTGCATTTTCAGCAAGAATTAATATGCCATTCCCCAGTTCTGATGCTGCATTCTTCTTCGTATATTCCAACTTCTCAGATTATTTGATTAGCATACAGGTTTAATAAACCAGGTGAAAGGGCACTCCCCCTGAGAAAACCATTACTGATTTTAAGCCATGCAGTATTTACTTGTTCTGTCCCAATGACTGCCTCTTGGTCTATGTGCAGGTCCTACATGAGCACAATGCAGTGTTGTAGAATTCCCATTTTTCTCAATGTTCTATAGGTTTTGTAATATAGATTGATGAATGCCATTTCATAGTCAATAAAACACACATAAACATCACTCTGGTATTCTTTTCTTTCAGACAAGACTGATCTAACATTAACAATGGCATTACATGTGTCCTCTTCTGAATCTGACTCGAATGTCTAGCAGCTGTCAATGTACAGCTAGAACAATTTTTCAAATAATCTGCAGCAAAATTGGATCTGCAGTGATAATAGTAATACCGAGAAATAATCTCCACATGATTAGCTTGTTCTTTCTTATTTTTCAATTTTCTAACTCCAGGTCTTTTCATATTTCATTATAGTATGTTTTATTTTGTCTTCTAAAGCTGCCCTTTGAAATTGTTTGACTATTTTACTTCACCATTTCTTCCACTAGCTTTAACTTCTCTAAGTTCAAGAGCAAATTTCTTAATTCTTTTGCCATGCACTTTGAGCCTTCATTCCCTGTCTTTCAATGATCTCTGGCTTTTCTCATCTCTAATGTTGTTAGTGCCAGCCCACAGTTGCTGAGTTACAGTCTCAGAAGCTTGCTGGGCCTGTTCTACCCTATCCTCTAGGATCACTATTCGTCACATAGACTGATACCAGTGAGTTTGAAGTTTTGATTTAGATGTCTATACCCCTACATATATAAGTATGGATATATATTGGATATGGATATGCATATAGCTACCAAGCAATTAAATTAACATTCCTAAATTATTTTTAATTTTTCATAATATAAATAAATTTCAGGCCAAAAATAAGGAAGAGGTGAGTTACACAACATTGATACTGGCCTAATAGTAAGTTAAACATTTTAAGAAAGCTGAACTTTGTGTTTGGTTCAGGCAGGAAACATCTATTTATTTATTTATTTTTACTGGTTCTTTTTTAATAAAAAAAATCACTACTGTATACAGTCATATAGTTTGAAAATATAAACAGAGTAAGGAAGGGTTTAAAAATCAGTACCAAGGTATTTATTTCTAGCATATGTTATAGGAGATATGGGGTCCATCATGAGCTTTTAAAAAATTCATTTTATTGGGGGCTCATACAATTCTTATCACAATCCATGCATCCATCCATTGTGTCAAGAACATTTGTACATTTGTTGCCATCATCATTCTCAAAACATGTGCTTTCTACTTAAACCCTTGATATCAGCTCCTTATTTTTCCCCTTCCTCCCTTCTCCCTCCTCCCTCATGAACCCTTGATAATTTATAAATCATTATTTTGTCATATCTTACACTGTCCAACATCTCACTTCACCCACTTTTCTGTTGTCCATCCCTCATGGAGGAGGTTATATGTAGATCGTTGTAATGGGTTCCCCCTTTCTACCCCACCTTCCCTCCACCCTCCAGGTATCACCACTCTCAACACTGGTCCTGAAGGGATCATCCGTCCTGGATTCCCTGTGTTTCCAGTTCCTATCTGTACCAATGTGCATCCTCTGGTCTAGCCAGATTTGTAAGATAGAATTGGGATCGTGATAGGGAGGAGGAAGCATTTAAGAACCAGGCAGGAAACATTTATGAACTTTGCAAAAATTTAATTTATGGAACATCATCGAACCTCTTGCTATAAAGTCTATTATCTGATAATAATAATTAACTAACAAATATTCACAGCAATCAAGTCCATTCCTGTTCATCTAGGTCATTTTAAACAGAGTAGACATGCTCCATAGTGTTCTGATGGAAATCTTTCCACAAGCTTCCTCTTTCTCTTTCACAGTGGCTGATGGGTTTGCATCCCTGACTTATTGCTTTAACAGCCCAACGCTAAACCCACTGAACTATCAGTGTTACTTGTAACTAGATAATCATGAGGTTCAGTGGAGCCTAGTGCATGTTGGAAAAGCCCTGGTGGCACAGTAGTCTTTCAGTTCGTAACTTCTAACTGAAAGTCCGGAGTTAAATCTAGAAGCCTCTCTTAGGGAGAAAGATGTTGTGATCTCTTCTATAAATATCACATCCTTACCAACACTGTGGGGCAGTTCTACTCTTTCCTCAAGGATTGTTATGAATCAAAATTTAATTGATGGTAATGGGTTTTATGTATGTTAGGTAGCTTAATAACAGTTTTCCACAGTCATATCAATTAAGCAATACCTTTATGGGATATATTTTATCATCTCCATTGGCCAGCTCCAAAGGCAGATCCTCTGGCCTGATCAGCCAGTAATTTGCTAAAAATGTATAGCTTTGTTAGTGATGAAGTTAGAATTTGAGCTAGATGCATCTGACAGAAAAATCCAATCTTTTACTGATAAATAACTAATTGTAGACTGAATTAAAACTCGAGATAAAAGTGGTAAATGACACTGTGGGTCTCCATGCTCCTGGTTTTGTAAGAAACAAACAAATGTGTTGGCATATTATTCTTTTTGGTCGAGGGGAGATATTTATAATAAAAAAGGCACCATTCCTTTTGAAGTCACACGTGGCCTTGCAGCCCTTCTCAAGCAAGGACTCCCGACAAACAGCACCCATTTATGAAACGTTTGAAAATTTTATTTACAAAATTCATGATTATGTCATAATTTGTCTCAAAAGATGTGGTGGGCTTATGATGAAAGGGGCTGTGAAAATCGTTTAAGATAATAGCATCAATACATGACATTTTGTGAGTCTCTGTTAACCCTCCCAATTAATTGACACTACAATCACAGATATTGGTGAGACAGTGTACAGAGTGAAAAAGGAAGTTTACTTACAACTAGAGAACTCCAGGGGGCAGGAATGTTCATCCATTGGGAAGTTGTGCAGCTGTAATTGACACTCGGCATCAATTGTCAACCTAAATAGGATGATTTAAAATATAATTTCTACTATTTAAAATATATACATAAGCAAAATGTATAATGACCAATAGTCTTCATTTGTGAAAAGTAAATCTCACATCCTGGTTGCTAACACAAGGTGAGTTCTTGTGAAGAAATCTCCCAGGTTCAGGAGGCATTTATTTAAAATAATATCTCAGTTACAACAACTCCATTTATTCAAAATGTATGATCATTTTAACCACATGGAAATGCACATGTAACCATTGGAGTGTGTTTATAGGTTAGAATATATTAATTGCCTGCAAGAAATGTTAAATACATACCTACTGAAAATGTTTCTTAGTTGTTCATAATAAGTTCTGACAAGCATGCTTACTAAACAAGTTTTCTACATCTCAATACATGCTGGGACTCCAGAAAGAAGAAGAGCTTTGACATTCCAGATATTCTGCCCGTATTTGGAGAAATATGAAAGTGGTACACGTTTCTTACTTGTTATCTATAGTTTTACAATGTACAGATATTAATGTTGAAGAAATTTACACTTTATTTTTCACAAACAGATTCAATTTAAAAGCTTACCAAGTCAGAATAATTTTTAATTGGGACATTTTTATTATTCACTGGTTTAAGAACTACTAATTTCTGAAACTCACTGCCATTGAGTCAGTTCCAATTCAGTTACCCTATAAAACAGTAGGACCTCCCATTCCACTTTCCAAGTCTTTACATTTTCACAGGTGCAGACAGCCTTGTCTCTTCTGGTGGGCTTTACCACTGGTTAGCGTCTCAATGTGGACCCCATTATGCCATATTGCCTCAAGTAAAGTGCTTTCTCATGTAATATTATTATCATTATATTGTAGCTGAATTTGTGTAAAGTTCCATACTTAGTAACTCAGATGACATTAGAATATCTCTCCACAAGTGAGTATATTAATTACTTTAATACGTAGTTATAGGCTCATAAGTAAAATGCTAATTTTATTCATAAATTAGAAATCACTTGGTATTACATTATTTACATAAAAACAAAACCAATAATAAAAAAGTCACTGTCTTCAAGACGATTTACGATTATAGGGAGCTTATATAAAATTTCTGAGACTTAAAATCTTTTTTTTTTGACTTAAAATCTTTACAGTAGACAGCTTCATCTTTCTCTTGTAGAGCATCTGAGAGGTGTAAACTTACAGCATTGTAGCTAGCAACCTAAACACAACACCATTGAGCTCATTATTATTTTTATATAAAATTAAATATTATTTTAAATACATATAAAAGTATATCATAAAATAATACATATATAAACTTCATATAGATAAGCCTGCAGGATAAAGCTATTTCTATAGTGAATTGTTAACTAATTGAAATCTATTGAATATCAAGAGTGAAATCTTTGAGATGTTTTTATTATAATTTCATGAATCTTTAAGTGATTCACACATTCACAGGAAATACATATATATATAACGTTATGAAATCAGGAAAGAGATGTGATAATGCACAAATGAATTAGGGTTTCAAAAAGCAACTGAATTGAAATTTCAGTTATTACCTGATCTCAGATTTAATGAAATGCATGATTTGGTTTCAAAATGCTTACAATGAATACCTTTTAATATTTCCCGGGATTTGACTTAGTATCCATAGAGAGAACGTAGAGCAGTTGTGAAGATATTAAGCTGTTAACTCAAAGAAGAGCAGTTTGAGCCTCCCAGGTACAAAAAGAAGGATCTGGAAGTCAGCCTATACAAGGTGACCACCTTGACAACCCTTCGGGGTGGTTCTGCTCTGTCCTAGAGGGGTCGGTCCCTCGGTCCTCGAAGACAGGGTTTATTGCATGGCAAGTCTGTGAGTGTGTTGCTTTACACAATTGATGTTTGTATGTATTGTTATAAAAGTTGTATGAGACCCCAATAAAATGATTTTAAAAAAATACTCTGAGAGAGCATTTTGAAGGCATTTTCATGCCATTTATTTTGAATGGTGTGTAATTATAAATTGGATAGAGAGTATATACCACTAGTGAATTGCAAGTTTGGCAGTTCACGTCTGTAAGTCACTCCACAGAAGAAGGAGGAGGGTATCTGTCCCCACGAAGATTTCCAGCCTTGGAACTCTACATAGGGCCACGGTGGCTTGGGAAGGGCTCCGCCGTGGTAGTTGGATTACTTGTATTTGGGTTAACGCTTTCCTTGGGAAAGGTGACATTTCCAAGCACTGCTACAGGTGATGTAAAGCATAACTGACTGTGGCTTAGTGTCCACATTTGACAGAAGCTGGGCACAGAACAGAAGCTAAAAGTAATTCAAAGTTCAGACCAATTTGTAAAGAAGTGAAATATCATGGGACTTACTAGAGAATAGATTCTCACATGAGTCACAGAAAATAAAATGTGGTTAGTACTTTGAAAAAAATTATTGAAATGCAAAGAAAAACTAATTATCCACTGTATCTTACTATTTTGAGGAAATGTGTGATGTGGGTGAGGAATATATTTTTGCTGTTTGTTTGAAACCAGTGAGGTAGATTTTTGTTTCATTCGCCCCATTTCCTTTACCCCGTTCCTTTTCCAGTACAATACCTTAAAGTGTAGAGTACTCGCCCGTCGTTCCAAATTCTCAGCATCCTATTGGGAGTAGTTATCCAATGTGCATCAGCCTTTTTGGAGTTTCTGAAGAAAGTGTCTGGAATCCAGATTTTCCCCACCATGTTGCTATTTAATCGAAGGACTTTAATGGTGCTGTTAAATTTCAGACGTCTGTCATACCATGTTTGAGCAAAAAATATATCAATCGTGTATTCCTGGTTTCAAGAAAAAAATGAAACACAACATTATGGAGAGTAGGGTTGAATTTCAGAAAATCTATTTTTATTTTATTAAAATCATCATTAACTCTACTATATCGATCTGTATCGCAGAGTATGTTATTTTAATACTATGATGACAAATAACTGTGTAATAATTTCCCTCTTGCATGTATAATGAAGATATAACTCAACAACTCACTGCTACCAAGTTGATTCTGGCTCATTACAAACTTATAGGCCAGGGTAGAACTGGGCATTTGAGTTTTTGAGACTGTAACTTTACCGGAGTAGAAAGTGCTGACCTTCTACCTGCTACACCACCAGGGTCCTGGTTGACTTACTCCAAGAGAAGTTGGTAGATTGTGAAATACAGCCCATTAATTGGACTGAAAACAACTGAGCTCTAGTTTGATTATTCTACTGAGAAGTCTTGGTGGAATTATCCTTAGTTTCTAAAACTCATTTTTCTCATCTATAAAAATCGCAAATTGATCCAAATAAATAAGTGCATCCTCTTCAGTTTTACAGTACTAAGCTCCATTGCTTCTCAAATTCATCTTCAAAATTATAATCTTGTTACTTATCAAAAGTTTACAACTATTTTTAATATTGTTGTTCTTGCCCAGTACTTATTTTGTGCCAACCCTCCTGCTAAACAGATTTCAAGCATCATCTCATCTAATAACCATTCTATGGGAGCAATATAAATAAGAAACAAATGATAGTTATAATAAACAATAGATGAAATGATTTGTTATTAACAGCATTTAATTAGGTAACCCTAATTAATCATTGTATTATTTTATGACATGATCTTAAATTTGTCAATAAATTGGAAAATAATAGGAAATAGTAGCTTCTTAGTTTTCCCCAAATATGAGAGTTGGTGGAAGACAAAACTTCCATATTTGCTAATGTAGTTTTCTCCACTACACCACTTTATAGTGAACATCCCAAAGAACTAAGGTATTTATTTATTTAATTTTTTGTCCTCAAATATAGAGTCAAGGATAAATCTCAGAGAGCATAAGAGATATGAAAAAATCATGAATGTAATGGGAAACACAAAGAGGAAATTAGAAGGGTGATATGTTATAGAATAGCGATCAGTATCATGAAACAATTTCTATATACCTGCCAAATGAGAATCAATTTACCCTGAAAATTTTTGCCCAAATCACAGGAACAAGTAAAATGAATTTGTAAACCTACTATATAAAAATATTTTATAAACAAATTTGTAATTTCCCAGGACATATAATAAATGTTTTAAATACTCTACATTTTAATATGCACTTGGAAACTTCTGTGATTTTTTTCTAATAAATAATTTAGAAACAGTGATTAGAATTATTTGGACAATAATTTTGGTAGCAAGTATCCCTAAAACAAATAGTTTTGCATGGAGTAAGAATTTAATGATATTCTTTTACTGCAACTAAGAGCAATTAATATGTTTATTTCTCTCTGACTTAAGAGAATGTCCTTATAGTTAGCTTTGTAATGACTGCTTTCAAGCTGTAGAATCATTGGTGTGTCATAGCTTGTCATGTAATGCTGTATTGCCTTGTTTTGTGCTGTGTTTATTATATTGATCATGTTATATTAGATGGATTATATTAATTCAAATCTACTTTTATTCAGTTTAGGGTAGACAAGGTTATTCAATTACAAAGAACATTTATTATTATACCTGGTGTGCTATTTCTCTTAAAAGATATTTCTGACTTGAAGCAAATTATGTTCTCCCACATGATCAGTGTTCTAAAAACTATTTGAACACTGTGTTTGATTTTGTAGTAGGTTGCACTTACCAAGTATTGATGATTTTGCGTTGCATACTTACAAAAATTCTACTTTTATTATATCTACTATATATATGATTTCAACAAATTATATAGAAAATACAAAAACTTCATTACTTTCATATTATGAGCACAAACAATATTTAATTATTGATACATTCCAAAATTTTGCAATTTATTGTCTCTGGTTCACTTTAGGGACATCATTATTATTGCTTCTCGGCCTTTTGACTAAGATCAAGTGTAGAGACATCATTATCATTTTGTAATATAGAACATTTTAAATTATCTCCATAGGGCATAAGATAACAATTCTATTGATAGTATCATTAATTTAGCAAATGGTAAAGAATGTAAAAAACTTGAAGAAAGAAAATTATACATGTAACAGGCTGGCTTTTCAGACCACAGTACATTAATTGTTGACTTGTACAGACTAAAATCTTGTGACTGGAAACCTATAGTACGGATAATGAGGTTGAGGACAGGGGAAAAACTTTCAATACTAATCATTCTCAAAGCAGAACCATGCCTGCTAGACGAATGGATGCCATAGAGAAGCAACAAGAGCAAAAAAGCAGCCATCTAAGTGAGGAGTCATCTCAGTCAAATAAGTACACATGTATAAAGCACAGCAGCCTGTGTGATCCAAGGGTTGTAAATAATAAAAATTCAAATCAGGGTCAGGGCTGAGGCAGTATCAGTGTCTAAATTCTGAACACTCAGTTTGCAGAACACTGTGAATGACAGTGGACACTAAAATCAATCATCAGGGTCCCCACTGGATTTAGACTCCAGTGAATCACTCTGACCAGAGTTCAGGGATAGGAATCACCCAGCTATTAGACAGAAGGCATATACCATAAAGTTGGGTATGGTATACTAGTTTGGTTAAAATGTAAAACCTTATCATTTGACATTTTCACTGACCCATTATAAGGCTGCCTCCGTTTTTAATATCTTCTTTATGCCAAACATTCTTTTCCTTTTTAAACTTCTTCACATCAACTATCTTTACCTACCCCCACCCACCACTGTAGCCACCAGAAACCCTTATTCTACTTGCAGTCCTTATACGTTCATCAATCCTGAGTTTGATGTACTGAAAAGCAGAAAAATAAACTGTAGCAAAAATTTAAGAAGTTTAATTCAGTGTCAAAACACACCTGAGATAAACCCCAATATGAAAAAACAAAAACACAGAAAATCTTGAGAAACAGATCACACCTAATGTGCATCAGAGGGGGTGGAGGTGGGGGGATCAACTGACACGGATTTGACCATGCAAGGCAGGTTTATCATTTTGATCTTCTATACTCATCTGCCCAATGCACTCTGTTTGGTAACCAGTTTCATCCTGTCTATTATGGAGAGAGGGGGAAATCGCAAAGACTTGTTTCCTATGTAGATCTCACAAATGTGTGTTGGGCTCCCACTGTCATCCATAGTGTCTGCGAACAAAAATCTCACAATTTAGACTTTGATACTATTCCTTCCTTCGGCTTTGGTTTATATGATTGACAATCCTTCAGTCACTGATAATTGTGTGCTCCTTCCATGTGGACTTACTTGACATCTCACTTAGATGGTTGCTTGTTTGAAAGCAAGCCTTTAAGGCCCCAGATCCTATTTTATCTAATAGTCAGGTACCGTCTAATTTCTTTACCACACTTTGCTATAGGACCCATATCTTCTGTGTTCTCTTCCAGAGGCCACGTACTGAGCAAGGTCATGGTCTAAGGACTAATTTTCCTTAAAGTGGAGCTAGGATTTACTGTGAGCACAATTCCCATTCCTAGATCTATGTTTTGTTTTGTTTTTTAATCTGCCTTGGGCTCCCTTTCAAAACCTCCTGTTAATTTATGGTAGAGCATTGATCATCCCCCGGGGGCACAAAGATCTTTCATTAATATTGCCATTGATTAGCCCTTTATACATTTTTTTAAAAGCACTATTGAGGAAGGCATATTCGGCTAATGTAGGCTAACTCCGTATGTTCATAGCATGTTTGGTGCATTTCTGACTGCAATTATTGGTAGAATTCCTCAATTTCTTCACCACTAGATTTTGTGGTTGGTATATAAATTTGAACAAAGTTGTATTGATTGGATTTTCTTGGGGATAGATAGATATAATCCTATCCCAGATAGCATTGCACTTCTTGATTGATTTTGTACTGTCCTTTTTGACAACTTATGCCACACCATTTCTCTTAATTGTTTTTATCCTGTCATAGTAAACCACATGCTTTTCTGAATCAAAATGGCCAATGCCATTCAACTTCAGGTCACCAATGCCTAGGATATCCATCTTTACGCATTCTATTTTATTTCTGACCACCTCCACATTCCTAGATTCATACTTCTCACATTCCAACTTCTGGTAATTAGTGGACTTTTGTAGTTGTTTCTCCTTCTCATGAGTCCTGCCGCATCACTGAATGAAGATACCAAAGGCTGCACTCCTACAAGCTTCACCCAACCCACGCCACCCCGGTAGGGTCCACTGCGAGAACTCTTGGAGAAAGCGTCTTCTCCATCACATTGAGAGTGACCTGAACCTGAGAGGCTTGTCCTCTGGCACTGTCTCGGGCAAGTTAGACTCCCTTCTCGACACCTTCAGCCTCTGACAGTGCTTCAAAGGCAGGCATGAAGTGTTTGCAGCCCCTTCCGCTGAAGTGGGGAACAAAGTCCGTCTCCATTGTCTATTCTTAGCCAGGAAGTCCCCTGAAACCTGTTCCCTGTCAGTGACCCTGCTGGTATCTGAAGTGCCAGTGCCACGGCTTCGAGCATCCCAGCAACACACAAGCCACCACGGAACAACGATCTGCCCGACGAGTGGAGATTTGGGTGATGACTTCACAATAATTCCTAATATAATTGAACTCTTAGACTTACGATATGTGAACTAGATGTCAATACAGCTATTAAAATAGACACAGTGTTAAAAACTTACCATATTTATAGCGTTCACTGGACCAATGCTATTCACGTACATGTCTGTGTGAATTAAGGTTGGTTTCACTGTCAAGAAAAACAGAGATATGTGCACATGGAGAAGTACAATTTTTAATGCTTTAGCCTTTGTAATTCTAGAAATAGATGTGCGTACTCATATTAGAAGTAACTTATTCCCACCTAATTTGGTGCCAGTGATTGTCACTTGAGGAATCTTTTATTTTATTCATCAGTTGAGGAATCTTTTATTTTCCCTCAAAGAAGTACCTACTTTTAAGTGTAGAGAAAATGCCAAATGTAGAGTTTTTAAATGATATTTTACATAAAGTTAACAAAGCCAAAAACTCTCATTTTTTTCCTCTTCTTCCTTATATCTTAAATTTTAGTTTTTTTATTTCAAACTCCAAAATCTCTTTTGGACATTTTATCTTGGCATGGCTATACTAGAAAAATGGCTACTTAGTGGTCCAGAGAAAAATATGCATTGGGAATGTGGATTAGACATAAAAAACAACAGTCAAATATGAGTATATTTTTGAAGTATTGCTCCCAGTTGATCCTTTTATGAGCACTTTATCATAACATACTTTTGTTAACATAAAATCAATCTTTCCAAATGACTCATTGGAAACTATGACTCAACAAATATAAGCAAACCATAGGGAATCCCATTTCATATCTCTTCTCAGTAAGGACAGATATTAAAAAGCTGTAATACAACAACCAAGAGAAATTCATATCATTCTGGGCTTCAATTCAACAGGCATATTTGTGTCATCTTTATTCATTTTCCTTGAAAATGCTTTGTCTTCCTTCTCTGTGACAGGCTGCATTCTTCATTGTTCCCCAACATGAACATTGAGGTAGTTAGTTTATTGGGCCAACCTGGCCGATAAACACATGCGGGATTAACTGAAGGGCAGAGAGATAAATGGCTCTGTGAGCCTCGGCTTTTTTGTCTCT